ATTATTATCTAGAGACTATTAATAACAGGAGGTGAAATACAGCTGCAGACAAGCAGAGCATGTGGTGATGTCATCAGTACACTTTTGTTCCAATTGATCCATTTTTATGCTGCGTGCTCTCATTCTCCCCGAGTCCAGACTTTCCTGTGTTCTTCTCAAGAACATACTTGGCGAGAACACGAGTCCGTACTCATGTTCTTGTGAATTGAGAAACAGCCCGTGTCTGATGACTGCATCGCACTGGGGCAATGGAAATCAGGGAAGTAAATAATGGAGAGCGACATTGAAGGAAGACAGAGCATAGCCAGTATTCCTTATTCATATACTATTTTATCGGTCTGAATCTCTCTTACCAGAGCTGCTCCATGTTTATCGAATGTAAACAGAATTGTTACGGCTTGTTAGATCAGATAAAGGGTATAAATCATGCAGGACAGTTTACCTCTCTGGATGCACCAACACTGCTAAGGGCTGGTTATCCTCCTGCAGCAGTGTGTCACAGTGAGCTTTCACAGACATTTTTGATTTATGTCCAATATTGAAACGTGGTCTGTGCTGTTATTCCACACCACAACGCAAGAGGGATAATCAGGAGAAGAGCGGGAATCCAGGTGGAAAAAGGGTTGCAGCGTTCTGGCTCACCTCGCTCTTCTTGCTGGTCCATCTTCATGAGACGTTTTCCACAATGGCGGTCATACAAACAAAACAAGCCGGTAAGGAACCAAGCAGAAAATATGCATAGAGAAGAGGGGATGTAGATTTGACCAATCAGAGGCCTCCTCCTGGTCTGTGGTCACCTACAATTTGGGAGAGGTGCAGGAGAGTGTCTGTGGAAGGGGCGGGGACGTCTCCAAGTTCACTGCGAAACACGCCGAAGACCTTGTTTCGAAGTATAAATCAGCCTTTAAAGGAGAAATGTCAAGTAATAAATTAACACACAGTATACTGTATATTGTATATAGTATATAGCTATATACTATATACCGTACTATATATATTGTATATAGTATATTGTATGTTTTATATCGCATATAGCTATAGATTCTGTATATATATCTAATTTCTCTGCACCAACACCAAGACAAATTCCTTGTAAATGCAAACCTACTTGACAATAAACTTGATTCTGATTCTGTTAAATTTTTTTGTCCTGAAGGTCCATTTGTGGTCCAGACAGCAGAGCAAACAAAAAAACAACCATGCATATTATATATTGGCATAGGCCAGGCTAGTAGCAGCAGGATGAAGGATTTTTGTTCAAGGCTTTATACACAGCAGGACTAATACGTATTGCTTATCATGTCCCTGCTGATCAGATGTAATTATTATTCATCCATCGATTTTCCAGCACGCTTATCCCAAACGATGTCACGAGGGGTGCTGGTGCCTATCTCCAGCTGTCTACGTGCAACACAGAGACAAACAAGACAAACAACCATTCACGCACACACTAACACCTAAGGAGAATTTAGAGAAGCCAATTAACAGTCATGTTTTTGGACTGTTGGAGGAAGCCAGAGTACCCGGAGAGAACCCACGCAACCCACGGAGAACATGCAAACTCCATGCAGAGGGACACCTGGCCGGGAATCAAACCCAGAACCTTCTTGCTGCAAGTCAGCAGTGCTACACACTGCTCCACTGAGCAGCCCTATTAATTACTATTCAGTAAAATTTTCTTTTCTTTTCTAGGGTTTAGCCCTCTGGTAGATGCACAAGCATACCGGGCAAAGTACTTGAAACATGCAGGGTCCGATTTTTAACCAATGTTTGTTTCCTTCTTCTTCTGTTAGATTCCAGCAGAGCTCTGACAGAAACACTGTGGTCCATCAGCTCACCAACGGCTCAGACCTGCTAACCAATCACAGAGCACCTCAGTGGAACGGAAGGAGGTTTTCCGACAGCGACGTCGACTCAGACGAGGAAATCCGCAGGCTGGTGGCTGCGCAGCAGAGCTCCCATCATGCACTGCAGCAGGATGCAGAGGATGACAACCTGGAGGTGGTGGGGGTCGACTACTTGGAGAAACCAGGGTCCAAAGGTAAGAAATATTCTAAACATGTAAAATGTCAGTAACTCTTCCCAGATAATGGAAGGAATCTATCTCTGATCCCTGAGGAAGCCATGCATTAAGAACCACCATCCATCGGCAGCTGGTGGAACCACATGCAGCTTTGACATGAGATAACAGGAAGTAATGAACAAAATAACCCTAAAGTTTGCAATTTTATGGTTATTAATCCTCAGTGAAAGTCATTGAAGTGATAAAAGGAATAGGATTATTAGAACATAAGAAAACTGCAGGGAAACTGATTTTCTGTCCGAATCCAGGAACCGATGCAGGTTTTACTGAAGTTCTTTAAAAAGCAAACCTAGAAACAGGAAGTAATGAGTAATTAACCATCAATATAATCTGTTTTCTCTGCATGAATCCAGGAGATGAGGAGGACTACGACTCTGCTGACACGGATGAACTGTTTGAATCCAGGAGAACTCCAGCTCCCCGCCTGCAGGAAAAACCTCCATCACCGACACCTGAACACGTCTCAGCAAAAAGCGCAGATAGAAAGAAACAAACAAAAGGAAAAAAAACACCTGCAAAGGTTTCTTTTAGTAAACCTTCATCCTCCCTGCAGAAGGAGAATCCAGCTGCAGAAATAAAAGACTCATCAGAGTCACAGAGTGATGAAGATGATGGAAGCTCCTCCGACTCATCTTCAGATTTTGATTTCCCAGCCTTGTTTTCTCCTAACTCCACCCATCTGAGGATTTCCCTGGCCGACTTACAGAAGCTGGCAGAGACCAGAGCTCCCAGCATCCTTGGAACAGGCCTTAAACTGGAGTCTAGGCTCCCTGATCGACCTGCACCCAAGGAAGCCATCACCCCAGACGAGATCCTTGCCTCCATCCTGGGGGAGGACAGCAGCAGCGACGAAAAAGCAGAACCGAGAAAGAAGAGAAAAACAGAAGGTGTACCATCAAATTCTCTGCAGGTCTCAGAGGAAACTGGGCGAAACGGGGAAACTTCAACAACCGACAAGCGAGCGAAGAAGAAGAAGGAAGATGAACTTATCAACAGCCAGAGACATGAGGAAACTAAAATATCAGAAGTTCTCAGAGACACAGAGGGGGAATCTTCCTCTGCGAGTGAAGAGGAAGAGGAGGAGGAGAAACAAATGTCTGCAGCAGAAGATCAGTCTTCATCCAGCAGTTCTAATGAAGAGGAGCAAGCGGCTCCTCGTCCTGCTCCTGCTCCATGCAGCCAGTCCTCCTCCAGCGAAGGAGAGGATGTGAAAGACCAGGCTCCTAAGCGGTTGGTGTTGGCTGCAGAGGAGGAAGAGGAGCTGCAGAGGAAGGCCAACATGAGAAGACTGGCTGCTCTCCAACAGAGACAAAAAGAGGCGGAGGAGCATCAGAGGCTCATCCATGGAGCCCTGGCCAAC